CAATTTGTGGGCCTCGACTGGAACCGCATCGCGCGGCTACACAGCCAAGTATTGGTAAGCGCCTGTGAAACTCACTAACAGCATCACGCTGTCACATTAAAGCATATCAAGATGCGGCCAACCAACCTCCAAAGTGAGCATAAACTTCGCCCGGCCAAATCAAAAGGGCGTGGCCAAAGGACGAACTTTGAGGCGGCATATCTCGGGGAATATTTAATCAATCAAATTTTGAGATTAGCCTGCGAAGCAAGCCCTGGGCTTGCTTCCCAACCCCCCTCCTCTCCCCCAGGGCTTGCTTCGCAGGCTATTTTGAGATTAATCCTGATAACGCAAAGAATGGAAATATATATAAACCTCTGGGGGTGAATAGGGACTTTAAACACAAATAAGATCTAGGATAAAAAGGTAATACCAATCTGTAGCGTTTGTAAATATATCTATTTCATACTTCAGGTTAATTCCATCTTTTCATGCAACAAATAGATTTATTGACTAAGAGGGATATAGTACAAACAAAAATTAATACAAACGAGGCAAAACAGAGGAATATTTACATTGATAGCGCCTAATATCTAACTGCAAAAGTGAATCAGCTTTCAAGTTGAAGAATACTTCTAGACAGAAAATTGCGTCAAGCGCGACTTTTTGTAAACTGACTTAAAAGAAAACATTACGCGTAAAAAAAAGTGGTCTCAAATACGAGAGAATAAAGGTTGATAGTTTCTAAAGAAACTGTTTGGGGCTGCGTCGGTGGGGGTAACGAAATAATTTCAATATATCAACAAAGTTGAAAAGGAGGCCAATTTACCATTTCAACTTTGTTCAAATACGAGAGGACTGCGAAATTACGTGCGCAATGAGAAACGCGAGTAAAAGGTGTAACTGACGAATAAAAACGATAACAAACTCAACAAAAAAACACTAGTTGGGAAGTGTGAAAAATATAGGAAGAAAAAGATGAATACAAATTACACAAAAATTAACTAGTGAGCACTTTAAATCTTACATTACCATTGAATGCGGCCGTTAAAAAAGTGCAGTTCTCGTAAGCAGACTGGATATCAACACCTACTAAAATCGTAACTTATATCGAACTTCTATGTACTTCAGATCGAAGTAAGATTGGGTCCGTGGGAACCCACTCCCATACACGGTGTGAGAAATTGTAGCCGGCTTCTTTCCAATGCAAGTGAACCATCCGTACGATTCAGTGTAAGTGGCAACAAAGATACCACCTCGTGGACTCAATGTGAATATTCTAAAGTTGCAATTTCGCAGCAGTTTTACTCCCAAGGCTTTTTTTGGATTATGTTTGACCGTTCGTTAGTGTTGTTTGTTTGCGATAAATTGTGTCTGTCTAAGACTTTACTGATCTCTGGAGATGTTGTATTTTAATCAGAAAAATTAAAGTTTCTACACAGATGACTCAATGGGTATGCCTTGTTTACCATTCCAGAAAAAAATTTCCTGTGTATCTTTTTTTTCTTGGGGGGGAGGGGAGTGGCGGAGGGGGGGCACTTGGGTCATTAACACCAACTGCGAGTTCTAGTGAGTTCCATTTCAATACAAAACCTTTTACACCCGCTCTAAGTAGATGACAAAACTTTTCCACACTGGGTCAGGATTCAGGAAATAAAGATTTGGTAACTATTAGCAAAAATGATGCAATGAAGCAATATGAAGTCGGAGACGACAGATAAATATAGCATTACAGTCGTTTTTGGGTTCACCGACCGCACTGTCTTTTATACGCTGCTTTCTCAGGCGAACGTTTCCTTGGAGCTAATTGACTAAGTAAGGTAAGAAGGGCCCTGTTTTCCTATGTAGGGATATAAATATGGATACGCGTGTTATCGCCTTGGTCCATATTCCAAATCATCATTTTGGATAATCAGACATCCATAACGCGCATGCCCCAGAGTACAGTCGAGCGTTTCTGTGGTCGGCGATTTGTAGAAAATAAACTAAGTATGCTGCTAACTTTTGTTGTGTTTTCAGAGCAGAAACTCCGTTGTTAGATTTTTAAGGCACAGTGTATCTGCTCTTATGTTAAAATGCACACAACACATTATTCTCTTCTTTGTTTTCTTGCGTTTATATGCAAGAAACAATTCCGGCCGACAGAGTGTACTAAACATGAACTGATTTCTTTTTGAGACTATTTAACTTTCGCTAAACTAGCTTAAACTGAGAAAAATCAAAACGAAACAAAACTAATCCCACAATTCACTAGTTATGTTATAATTAAGCGAACACTTCACTTAAACAAAACATTTCTCGGTAAATTGTACCGGGTTGGTTTAAAAAAAAAAGAAAAACTCTGATTAAATATTTAGAGCCAGTAAAAAGCTTGATTCGAAAGTACATGATAAATTTCAATTTAAACTTCATTTGAACGGTTTTCTCATTTTTTCAGTTACTTAAACAACTGATGTTGACAGTTTACTGAAGAGCCTCGCAATGGCCTTGTTCAGCATGACATGTCCTTCCAAGTTTAATG